TGACAGAATCTTCCAGAAAAGGAAAGGCAAAGGTATAGCCTGTCGCAAAGATGACAGCATCAATGTCATCCTCCCTGGAGCCATCCTCAAATATGGCAGCTGTCTCTGTGAATTCCTTCACATTTCCTTTCACTTTCACCACAGCCAGAGATGATACGATTTGGCAGGTCATCATTTACGGTTGGATGCTGACTCAGAGCTCTGCGAGCGGTGGTAAAGATCAAGTGAAGGAGAGATGAGAGAAAGAGCAATCAGTACCATGTAAGTAAAATTTTGCTTCGGTGGAGGTAAACAATATGCCAATAATCTTGACCTTGGTCAATGCATGAAGTTTGGGAAAGGTCTGATTTACACTAGCTTGGCACAGATCAAGATCAGAGCTGAAGTTGGACCCTGGTTGGCATTGAAAGGGAGAGTGTTGGAGGAGTGAAGGAAGAAGAGTCTTGTCTCAGGAGTGCATTATGATTTCTCAAGTTACAGTAATGTTCTGTACGTGATATGATAAGGGCACAGGCCAATAGTTTCTATCCTCATATCAAGAAGCCTGACAGAAGTAAACTGTCGAAGGAAGGCAGCAAATCACACCGCCATGTGTGTACCTATGCAACAATCTTGCATGTTCTTCACATGTACCCCAAAACCTAAAATGCAATAAAAAAATTTTTTTAATAAAAAATAAAAATAAAGTATGTATTAGATACCCTTAAAAAAAAAAGAAGTAAACTGTCAACATTCTGTTCAGTCTCATTTCCAGTTTCAAAGGCTCGAGAGCTAAGTTTAGGCCACTATTTTCCAAACTATATAATAAATTACATGTATGTAGCAATTTACAGTTTATAAGTTGCTTTTACATGCATTAACTTATTTGACTCTCTCAAAACTCTATGAAGGAAGTAGAATAGGTGTCATGATCCAGGTTTTATAAATGAGGAAATCGAGGCCTAGAAAAGTTACATGACTTGTCTAACTGTTACACAGCCTAGGGTTTTAGAATTTATCTCAAAGTTGTTTTCAATGAATTATCTTGGGGGTACTTCCAGCCTGTTACTGGTTTCCTAGGGACAGCACAGGACACAGATACTGGAAACACTGGGTTGGTGCAAAAGTAATTGCTTTTTTCGACGAAGTCTTGCTCTGTCACCAGGCTGGAATGCAGTGGCGTAATCTCCACTCACTGCAATCTCTGCCTTCCAGGTTGAAGCGATTCTCCTGCCTCAGCCTCCTGAGTAGCTGGGACTACAGGAGTGCACCACCATACCCGGCTAATTTTTGTGTTTTTAGTATAGACGGGGTTTCATCATATTGGCCAGGATGGTCTTGATCTCGTTACCTCATGATCCACCCACCTCGGCATCCCAAAGTTCTGGGATTGCAGACGTGAGCCGCCGCGCCTGGCCTCCCATTACTTTCTGTTAATAATAATAAGGGTGGTTTCCAGTGTCACGGATCTTTCTAAAAAGCCATCTCTTTTGCTTTTTTTTTTTTTTTGAAAAAGATCTCCTTTTCACCTTATCTATACCACCTTATACAGGTGATCAAATTTAGCATCGTTACTGTGGGATAAACTGACATCATGTGGTTTTCATGTGACCCACTAAGATCAACGTCACCTGTGTAGTCTATGTGCCAAAAACATTTAACCTGAATATAATAAAGGAAGAAAACCATGGAAGTCTAAATTTAGAGACTTTCTACAAAACAATGCCTTGGGTTCTTAAAAAGGAAGCTCATGTCAAAGAGAGAATTATTTTAGATTAAGAGAGATTAAAGAGACGTGACAACTACGTGTAATGGTGTGATTGATTACCTGACAGGATACTAGATTTAAAAAGATTTTTTAAAAGCCATATAAAATATTATTGGGGCGACTGGGGATATTGCCAATGTATTAGATAATGTATTTTAAATTTCCCAGGTGTGATAATTATACGATGGTTATGTAGGAGAATGCCCTTTTTCTTTTCTGTTTTTTTTTTTTTGGTGACAGAGTTTCGCTCTTGTTACCCAGGCTGGAGTGCAATGGCGCGATCTCGGCTCACCGCAACCTCCGCCTCCTGGGTTCAGGCAATTCTCCTGCCTCAGCCTCCTTGCCCTTTTTCTTATATGATACACACTGAAGTATTTAAAGTGTCTTAATGACTGCAGCGTACCCAAATGGTTTCAGAAAAAAATGTGCCTGTGTATGTGTGCTCAGCATGTGTGGATCTGTCTACAGAGAGGGGAGACAGGAAGCAAATACAGCAAACTGTTAACAGGTGAATCCGGTGAAGGGCATATGGGTGCTGATTGTACTTATTATTTTGCAACTTTTGTATAGATCTGAACATTTAAAAAAATAAAAAGTTGGAGGTGAAATAAATTTAGAATCAGCCTCTAGAAATGTTTTCGCTCCCTGGCTCCTCAACTTTCATAGCACTCTGTGTATTTCTTTATTATACTCTGTTCTCTTTCTTCTCATTAGAGTATTTAAGGTAAGATCCATTTGTTGAGTCTGCCATTTATTACTCGTGTTGCCCTCAGGAAAATTACTTAGTTTCTCTATGTCTTAATTTTTATATTTGTAAAATGTAGATAGAAAATTGTGGAGGCCAAAGCAACTCCATCTTCGACGCTAATCTACCATATTGACTTCTGATCAACCTCAGTTCCAGGAATACCTCTGAGATTTCCAGTTACTCTGTTGTTTAAGAGCATGTGCTTACCTTTAGTCCCCCCTGTAGGGCAAACTCCTACCCATTCTCTCTGAAGCATGTGTGTCCCTCCCTTATAGTATATACGGCACGTGATATCCTGGGTCGGGAGATAATGGTATGGGGATCTAACATCTTGTCTCCCCACGGCCTGAGACGCAGATGTGGCTTCTGTTCGTAAGTCCCTATTAAATGTTTCTAAGAAACTGAGTTTGTCAGCTTCTTTCTTCAGCCTCTCAGCTTCCTCAGCCTTTGGGGTAGGTTTGCATAGACCTCCTCACTGTGAAACAAAAATAGAACCAACTGATGGGGCTCTTGTGAGGATTAAGTGAGATGCTGCCTGCAACTCATGTAGCGCGATGTTTATCTTGTAGAAAGTTCTCAGAAAGGTAAGTGTAATGTCTATTCCCATTACTATGGTCTTTTCTCTCTGCATTTCATGCCCACGTATGATAGCTGGCTCATAACAGGTGCTCAATGAGTAAATGATGCACCACCCTCAGCTACCATTTTGTTGTTGGGCATCATGTAAAAAGAACTGATACCTGGGGGAATGAGCTAAGGGTTAATGCTAAAGAGAAGTCTAGACTAAAAACCCACAGACCAATAGATCTTGGACATCTGTGGGTACACAGTAGAAACCTGATTTCAGATTCTATGGGTCTACAGGTTTTCTTTCTTTTTTTTTTTTTCCTTTTTTTGAGACACAGTCTCACCTTGTCACCCAGGCTGGAGTGCAGTGGCACAATCTCAACTCACTGCAACCTCTGTTTCCAGGGCTCAGGCGATTCTCCTGCCTCAGACTCCCAAGTAGCTGGGACTACAGACAGGCGCCACCATGCCTGGCTAATTTTGTGTTTTTAGTAGAGATTGGGTTTCACCATGTTGGCCAGGCTGGTCTCGAACTCCTGACCTCAGATGATACGCCTTCCTTGGCCTTCCAAAGTGCTGGGATTACAAGCATGAGCCACCATGCCCGGCCACTATGGGTTTTCTTAATGTATGGGTAGAGGCAGCTCTGCTATTAGCAAGTGCGAACAGTCCTTATTCTTGTGCTTTGGACGTTACCCCTGCACCCTCATCCTGGGGACATACCTGTGCTTAGGCTTCAGGCCAAACATTTCATGGTCAAACCTTTGGTTCATCTTTCTTTCCATATATGTGTTTTTTAATGACTGGCCACAGATCTTTGACATAAAATATTTAAGTCGAGAAGAGTACAACACATCAAAAGGATATCCATAGTCTCCTACACGATTGAAGATCCAGGCCCCTCTCCTGGTGCTGAGGAAAACCTGGGACATGGGAGAGAGTGTTAGCCTTAGTCACTCAGGATCATAAACCTTCAAAAGCACCCCAGTTTTCTTCAAGAATCATTTCAAACTCATTAGTCTGGCTTTTTAGCCCCTGCTCAATCTTCGTGGGTTTTTGTGTTTGGTTCCTGCCATTTCCCTTCCCAAACACTAAACTTACAATGAAATTGGTGTATCTACTGTCCAAGAATACGTCTTGCTCTAATCCACCATTGCATTTCTGTCTAGTGCCATTATGCCTGTCTGGAATGCCTTCTCTCCTCTTAACTCTCTAAAGTCTGTTCATTTTTTTTTCTTGGAGACGGAGTTTCACTCTTGTTGCCCAGGCTGGAGTGCAATGGTGCAGTCTCGGCTCATTGCTACCTCTGCCTCCCAGGTTCAAGCGATTCTCCCGCCTCAGCCTCCTGAGTAGCTGGGATTACAGGCATGCGCCACCATGCCCGGCTAATTTTGTATTTTTAGTAGAGATGGGGGTTTCCCCATGTTGGTCAGGCTGGTCTTGAACTCCCAACCTCAGGTGATCCACCCACCTTGGCCTCTGAAAGTGCTGGGATTACAGGCATGAGCCACCAGCCCAGCCCAAAGCTTGTTCAGTTTTTAAGACCTAAATCAAGACTGCCTCCTCCATGAAGACACCACTGATCATTCAGGCTGACAGTTTTTCTCTCCATCCTTTGAACTTGTCTAGCATTTATCACCTGTAAAACTCATTAAAAATCACAGAATGGGGCCCAGGCGCGGTGGCTCACACCTGTAAGCCCAGCACTCTGGGAGGCTGAGGCGGGTGGATCACGAGATCAAGAGATCGAGACCATCCTGGTCAACATGGTGAAACCCCACCTCTACTAAAAATTCAAAAAATTAGCTGGGCATGGTGGTGCGTGCCTGTAATCCCAACTACTCAGGAGGCTGAGGCAGGAGAATTGCCTGAACCCAGGAGGCGGAGGTTGTGTTGAGCCGAGATCACGCCATTGCACTCCAGCCTGGGTAACAAGAGCGAAACTCCGTCTCAAAAAAAAAAAAAAAAATCACAGAATGGTAAAATTGAAAGCAGCTGGAAACCATTTAATCTGAAACCCTCATTCTTTTGCCGTTGACATTTGCATTATTACAAAAACCCCTGCTATTTATCATTTTTGTTGATATTGAACTTTCTCCACTCTTAATTTCTGTCTCTTCAAAGGCATTTTCTCAAGGGCAGGAGATATAGCCTACACATCTCCACAGCAGATCATCGTCACTTCCATTTATTGCGATTTGTGGCCTTTAAGTCACTGTGCTAGGTCCTTCATCCCTAGTACAACAACCTCTTAAGGGAAGTATTGCTACACCCATGTCATAGATGAGGGGCATGGAGGGGATGAGTAACTTGCCTGAGGTCACAGAGCTAGTAAGTGGCAGAGCTGAACTTCCAACCCAGGTCTGACTGACTCCAAAGTCTGTGCTCAAGAAATGTTTGATTGATTGTTTAATAGAGAAAAATAAGATTGCTAGCAGAACAACAGGAATCTTGCTAGTCTTTCTGTGTCCTCCGCCGGCTAAAATCCATGTTCGGAGCTGATAAAGATCTGATATCCAGTTACCTGGCAAAAGGATCACTTTTTCTATATTATGAAACTCTCTGGAGATGGCTTCCAGATTGTAAGATATGTAAGTACATTGCTTCAAAGTCGTTTTGTCTAAGATGGCCTGGCTACAGAGGGATAATTGTTTACTTCATAAATCTTACCTCACCTATGATGGCTGGAAGTGCTGGGATAATTATGTACTTCCACATGTCACAGTGGAAAGAGCATATATGGTCTTAGAAACTGAACGGTTTTGTATGCTGGCTATATAACTTCTGATGAGTAATGAAAACAGTCAGAACCCTAATAAAAAGGCTTCCCATTTATGAAATAGTAACAATAATACATCTATTGCAAGGCTGTTGTGATAATTGAGTAGTGTTTTTGTAAAACGTATGGTATATAGTAAACGCTTGATAAGTGCTTAACAGCTGTCATATTACTTATTTCAGTTTTCTAAGTTTGCTATACCTTGTTTTAAGCAAATAACATTTACAAATCAGATTTACAAGGAAAACTGTTTCATCAGTGTAATCTTACATGAAATTAATCTTGAAAGAAAGGGATGTTTTCTCTTTACAAAAGCATCCACTAGAATTATCTGAAAAACTTCCATGATATACGGAAATATATAGGTCCATTTAAAATTTTTGATTTATAAACAAATCCTCATGAATACAATTTAAAATGTAAAGCAAAATGTTAGAACTCAGCAATTGAGTTTCTTCACCTTGCTTTACTGGTGTGACAGTCTTGCCTTTGCTATGCAGATACACCTTTCCTTTGCATTTTCACTGGCTTTCTCACAGACACAGCCACCTTATCTGTACCCACACAAAAACGCTTTGTTATTTGGTAACCTGCAATTCCCCAGGGCAGGTAAGGCCAAGCTCCCTTAGAACTGCCCATTTGAAAAACCAATGATATTAAAGAAGGCTCTTGCCATGGGTCCCCACTCCATATTTCGCACATTCTTCTACCATAACACCCATACATGTTTTAACCCTTGTTTATATAATTATTTTTAATCCTTGTTTATATAATTATTTCCTGATAAATATTTGTTGAATTAATTCAAGAAGTAACATGAAACCATTTTTGTGGCTATAGATGAGCATTTACTGAGAAGAAGTGTTTTTTGAACAAAGTTGCTAAGAGTCAATTAACAGAATTGCGGCACTAAGCTTCTAATGAAAATAAAACAATTTAAAATATATTTGTAGAGAGGCACGACTTGATCAAAGTTACCAAAGAACAACCAAAACATTTACCTATTGCCAATAGAGTTTGATTCAATAAAAACATTAATAAAATACAAGATTGGCATGTCTTTTTCCAGGAATTTATACTGAAGACACTTGCTTCTCAGTTCAAAATATGCTATACAAAACCCAAAACAAACGAAACAGAAAGCGAAGGAAATAGAAATTGCTTTAGAACGAATGTTACTCTGTCACCTAACTGTATGCGTAGGCTGGGGCAAACTGCTTGCACGTGTTACAGTTTGGATGCTACACGGATACCCACACTGTCTTTGGGAAGGTAAGATTGCTGCTTTTTTCCATTTGGGGAGTGTAAAGGGAAAATCGCGCACCATCCTATGAGTGCAAAGTTTTCAGGGATCACAGTGCGCTTTCCTGTGTGTAAGAATGTAGCACTTCTGCTGGCCAAAAGAAGAACCTCACTCTCAATACCGCTTTCTAACCACCTCTCCCAGCAATCACTTGATCTTCATCAAAGACAGCGGCACACTCTGAGAAGATGCCTGCTTAGGATAATGAGCCCAGACTGTAGCCATGATCCAGTTCCTTGGTGTGAGGCAGCTGCATGATGGAACTCTAACTGGAAGCCTTACCTCCTCTACTCGCATCAGTCACAACGTCGCCGACTAAGGTCATGAAAGCAAGCCCAACCTTTGCCCCTGGCACCGGTGGGCTATGTGCAGGCATCCCTACTCTCCCTACTCTGTGGGCACCACCTGCAGCTTCCGTGGGGAAACTGCAGCTACCGTGAAACAAAGTAATTAACTGACTGATTCAAACCTGTTTGGCGGTGTGGCTGATCTCCACAGCCAGATCCCCTCCAGAATTCCCAATGCCAATTATAATGACTCTCTTTCCAGTGAATCCCTCTGGGTTCTTATAGTCTCGACTGTGGAAGTACTGCCCTTTGAACTTCTCAATTCCTGCAAGAGAAGGGAAAATAAGTATCAGGTGATGGTTTATATGATGGATATCATTTGTCAAGTCACCTGGTCTTCTTGCAGACTTAAGTTTAAGCAGATATTCTCCAAGTGTTCTCTCTTTATGCAGCTACTTTCTTGTCTCTCTCAATATTTTTGCCTATTTTCTTTTCCCCTAGCCTCAGAGTAGTACCGCGTGATTTTCTTATCATATGTACTTTGCGTAACTCAGGATGTGTTTGTATTTTGGATTTATAGACTATAAATACAAACTGCCTCAGAAAACCTCCATTCTATTTTGTCTTTTCATCCTCTTAAATACCTAATCCCTGGCCGGGCACCGTGGCTGACGCCTGTATTCCCAGCACTTTGGAGGCGGAGGTGGGCAGATCACAAGGTCAGGAGATCAAGACCATCCTGGCCAACATGGTGAAACCCCATCTCTACTAAAAATACAAAAGAATTAGCTGGGTGTGGTGACATGCGCCTGTAATCCCATCTACTCAGGAGGCTGAGGCAGGAGAATCGCTTGAACCAGGGAGTCGGAGGTTGCAGTGAGCCGAGATCATGCTGTTGTACTCCACTCTGGTGACAGAGTGAGACGCCATCTCAAAAAAAGAAAATCTGCCCCCATTTCACTTACAGCACACATATTTTTATATACTCTAGAGTACACAGAGAGTGCCTTTTTCTTTCTTTAATGAAAATCCAGGCCAAAGACTGAAATTCTTCAAGCTTTCATTTCTTCTTTAGAAACTCAATATTTTGGTTTACTTTATTGCTGAAAAATTCCTCATTCAACCTAATGCTCCTCAAGAACTCCACATTCTTCCTTCTGATACTTAGAAAAACTAAAGTTATTGTAAAACTAAATAGACCTCAAATTTTGCTCTAATCTCCAAAAATTACAAAAATGGGAATAACACAAGTTTCCCCAACATCTTTCTGGGGAACATGAAGAATTAGGATAAGCCTTATTTCATTCCAAAGTAGGAATTAGACTACAGTCCTTCCATTTCTCAGGGTCAGGTCACAGGCATGGGTCAAGGGTCTTCCATCATAACAAGTTACTCACCAGGGAAGCTTTCCAGAGGAAGATGAGCATTGGTGTGATGGCCAGTGCAAACCATGACTCCATCAAAGACATCTGTCTCCATTTTCCCTTGAGACTCAGTGACCACTTCCCACTGGCCTGAAGTTGAGAAATCGGGCCGCTTTTTCACAGTGCACACAGTGGTCTGAAACAGAAAATGATAAGCACAGGGGACACCCCTGACATGACTCTCCTTGCAGAATCCTACACAGAGGGCTGACATCACAGGCACGCACTCTCACGTCGTAGGACCCATGCAGGGATATTTGATTTTCATACTCCACAAATAAGAACTGTTTTGTTTTGGGCTGTGGTCAGAATGAGAAAACTTCCACGAGGCAGAAAAAAACAGTAACATGGTGTTGGCAGGCTAATGTGCCTTCCTCTTCTAGAAAAATGCGAGTCCCTAGGCCTTTTAGTCCGCGCCCTAAGGCACTGTGACAGCTGAGTAAGCCTGGGCTTCTCCTGTGCTTTGATGACACTCCATGCACTACATGCCTATTCTCCTGACCCCAAATGTCCTGAGACCTTCTGATATTCTCTTCTCCTGGCTAACTTTAAACACGTGACTGAGATATAGAGCTCCTTTTCCTGGTAGGGTAGAAAAACACCTAATGGCTCTCATTTTATGTAAATGAATCTCCCTTTGACTCTCATAGATACCCATTTTTCAAGGAACTATAAAGAAGGAGGCTGTGAAACAGGATAGAGGTATGATTATAGCTTTTTAAAAATAATAAATACGGGTTATTCTACTTAGCTTAAGGAAACATTATGTGATTCTCAGGGCCTATGACCATCATGTCTTGGACTAATAGGGACACCACCCCAGCCCGGGCGCGGTGGCTCACGCCTGTAATCCCAGCAGTTTGGGAGGCCGAAGGCAGGTAGATCACCTGAGGTTGGGAGTTCGAGACCAGCTTGATCAATATGGAGAAACCCCATCTCTACCCAAAATACAAAATTAGCCAGGCATGGTGATGTGCACCTGTAGTCCCAGCTACTCAGGAGGCTGAGGCAGGAGAATTGCTTGAACCTGGGAGGTGGAGGTTGAAGTGAGCCGAGATAGTGTCACTGCACTCCAGTGTTGGCAACAGAACAAGACTCTGTCTCCAAAAGAAAATAAAAGTGGGGGGGGGGGATGCCACCCCTGCATGTCTTGGCCATCCGGCACTATTTATAGTTCCTCTATCATGTTGTGCCTCTGCCTAGATCGCCCTTTTATTCCTTATTTAGTAGATTCCTGCTCAACCTTCAAGACTCAGAACTTTATCTCCTTTAAGAAACCTTCCCTGGAACCTGATACTTTGTGCCCTGATGGGTTCAACATCTCTCCTCTGAGCTGCAATGTATAGATTTCTAGCATTTGTCACCATGTAACTCTTTATTTTTATTAATTATATTTATAATACAATTTTTCTTCATTTTTTTATCCCCTTAACTAGACTATAAAGTTACTGATTTTTTCCTTTTTGTCTTTGCATCTTCAGTACTTAATATGATAACAAACTTGTTCGATAAGTACTGTTTAAACAAGTGAGGAGAAGCATCATTGGAATGTAAATGACTTACTTTAGAAGTTATCACTAGATGTTTTCATTTTGTTATGTCGTTAACCAGAAGAAGGCATGACTTAGCAGGATGATCACAAGGCAGAAGGTGTGGGCTTTTTGCAACTGTCAGAAACATCTGTTCTTTTATGTTCTTGATCAGAAATTATAGCAAAGTCATAGAATATTTTAGAGCAGAAAGGAGCCACTGAAGCGATCTAGTATAATCATCTTGTTTTACAAAGAAGGAAACTTTAAAAATTGAAATGGAGGAACTTGCTTGTCTAACATCTAAGTTAGTCAGTGGTAGGGCAAGGAGCAGAATCCAGGTTTTTGTTCTGCAATTCCCTCTACACCAGAGTTAACTCCCCAACAACTACACTTTGCTGGGTTTTTATGATGTTCATGTAAACAAATACATTGGAAAGTACTTCTGAAAGTATAAAAGGGCTAAGCAGTCATGAACAAGTTGTAGAACCAGAAGGTTTTAAAGTTCCCATACCTATCAGTTCCCTTCCAGTAATGGGGAAAACATTTCCCCTCATCCGTTTTATTGCAATCAAATTGTGTGAAATGAAGGTAATGAAAACACTCTGCCAGGTAGCTTCCTGTATATGCAGCCAAAATATATAAAAGAGACACCTTCACTTGAATATTCTTGAGGGACAAGGAGGACGAAGAATGGAGTTTTTGCCTGAGTAGACAGATGCATGTGCAAGTCCAGCCAATCTTTAGAAGTGAATATCGGTCATTAAAACCACATTATTCATTTACTTGGCAAACAACTTCAAACACAAAGATACCCACAAAATTTTCTACCTTAAATCGAATATACTTTAGAAGGTCAAATTCTTTAGCGTACATCCTGAAATACTCCAGCACCTGGGCATTATGCATGAAGTTAGGATAATGATCTGGGATTGGATAGTCACTGAAGCACATCATCTCTTTAGAAGTAATTGATGATCACTGATTTGTAAATACTGGCCCTTCCTTCTTCAGGATTTTCCTACAATAAATAGAAAGTATGCTTAGCAACTTGAGAATCATCTTTATGATTTGTAAATATGAAAAAGTTTTCTGAAAGAATAGTCAAGTTACACACACACACACACACACACACACACACACACACACACACACCCCTTCCAGTATTTGTGCCCTTACATAGTCCTTCCCCTTGAATCTCATGTGTCTTTATGACCTGCTTTTGACCGACAGCGTACAGTTGAAGTGACACTGAATGACTGCCAAGGCCATGTCATAAGTAGCCTTGCAGATTCCGCCTGGGTCTCAGAAAGCTCGCTCTGGTAGAAGCAAGCAGCCATGTGAGAGCTCCAACCACCATGAGACCACCATAGCCTGAGGAAGTCCAGCCTCACCACATGAAGAGAAGGTCTGGGAGAGAAAAGATGTGGCTCGTTCCCAAAAATTCTACCTACTCCAGCTGAAGTTCCAAACATGTGAACAGAGAGTTACTAACACTGAGGAACAGGCTTTTAAATGAGTAACAGGCAAAATGGGAACACATACTGGAAAGAGTGTAACAGTTTCCATATACTGGAAAGAGCATAACATCTCCATTGTTTTCTGGAGAGCAGTGTTAAAACGTGTATCAAACTCCTTGCAATTTACCTGGCCTTAAAAAAAAATATTCAGCATCACTGAGGAAGATTCATGTTAAAGGTGTTAATACCAGCATTATTCATAATATAAAAGGAAACAAGCTGAATGCCCAACAAAATAACTGAAATTTGAGAACCACTGCACTAGATGCTTACTCCCAAAGTGTGGTCTGTATACCAGCAGCAGGGGCTTCACTTGCGAGATTGTTAGTTAGAAATGCAGACTCTCGGGCCGCAACTCAGACCTACTAAATCAGAACCTGCATCTTATCTTCAAGTGATTCAGATGCCATTGCAAACTGAGATGCATTTCATTAGATGACATTAATCCCTGATTCAGTGTTCTTTACCCTACAAGAAACTTCTTTGCTTCCTCAAAAACTTCCTATTGAGGCCAGGCACGGTGGCTTACACCTGTAATCCCAGCACTCTGGGAGGCTGAGGCAGGTGGATCACCTGAGGTCTGGAGTTTGAGACCAGCCTGACCAACATGGAGAAACCCTGTCTCTACTAAAAATACAAAATTAGCCGGACATAGTGGCACATGCCTATAATCCCAACTACTTGGGAGGCTGAAGCAGGAGAATCGCTTGAACCTGGGAGGTGGAGATTGTGGTGAGCTGGGATTGTGCCATTGCATTCCAGCCCGGGCAACAAGAGCGAAACTCCATCTCAAAAACAAACAAAACAAAACAAAACTTCCTGTTAACTACCTTATGGCGCTGTTGTGTTGATCACATAAAGTAATGAAATGATGCAATCTATCCAGCCTGTTTTTCTGTCATGGAGACTTTACAAATGAGTTTTCAGATTTTTCGATTTTCAAAAATTGTTTTGATTATGGAAAATCACCTTAATCAATTTGGATTTCCTCCCTTTTTATTCCAGAAATGAACAGATATTGAGATATTGAGTATTATGAAACATAAATAGCCACAAAGGAGAGCATTTGTTGCCTTTGTCCATTTTTAGGGTGGTTTTTCTTCCATTTTTATTGCATAATTATTCAATCTAGGA